AACGATCACTAGATAGCGTTTAGCGTATGACGGTCAATCGAAAACCATGATACAGAACGTCATACGCTAAACGCTATCTAGTGATCGTTATCTGAACTTCGTATCCTCGAAACACCCTAGTATCTAAACCAGACGGAACGAAGAGGGTTTTATGCTTCCGTGAACCTGAAACAGATCATGGAGATGACTTACTTGTCAGCCAATACGACCAAATAATGAAACCCAGAATCTTGAAGACCAATCTAAAAAAATGACGAACAAGAAGGAAGGACTAAGGAGCGAGATCACGGAAACTGACGCGCACTCAAACGAAAAACAACACAGAAACTGAAAAATGTCTTCTAAAGAAAAATGACTTATCCCAAAGCTTCTAAAACTTCGTTTGAGTTGAACAGCAGTGTGTAAATGCACCGGGTGATTGTTGCCTGTTAAGGTCATGCGAACTGACTGGATTACACTTGTGTGTTTGATGAATATCAATCCATGTTGCTCCTGGGGGCCCGCCGATGTCAAATAGTATCACTGAGACATCAACTGCTTTGATAATTAGGTCATCACAATCATGAGGGATAGCGGATCACAGATCACGACCAGTTGCCGACTCCTTTCTCCGTTACCCACGCGTGCATTTTGTGCAAATTAAGTTACTCCCTACTAGTCTCACCGATGGAACACAATAAATCTAGTTTACCACAATTCGTGTTATCTTTTCCACAAGATATCCATTCGTCTAGGAATAAAATAAAGGCTAATCATCCTGTCCGAAGAACACCGACTAAACGATATTGCTGCTGCTGCTGCTGCTGCTGCTGCTGCTGATGCGATGGAACGTGGCAGCTTTCATTTGCACAACACGATTTCCAGTTAGTTTAACTTCATCTCCCTCCTCCCCTCGGTAAAATGTCACGCTGAGAACGGTGGTAGATTGTAACAAATGTTCTGAAACTGACAGAGATTGCTCTTACAAAAGGACACATTTTATCGCGGTTCAGAGATGGTTAGAAATCTCCCAGGCCGCCTATTTAGTTTGCTATTTTTTCTTGCGGAAAAAATCAATGAACCGCATTTGAACTGCTTATCGGACAAATTTGTCTGATGAAAAATTATGAGCACATTTGAATTCACTCTTTTAATTGTCCTAGTTCAAGATGATATGTGATTTGATCTGATCTGATCTGATCCGAGGTAAATGAAAGAACAGTCGTTGATGCGCTCTATGTTTCATCCTTTTAGGGTTNCACAATGCTGCATCTAGGCCCAAACCCCTGTCGGTGGGCCTGTGATCAAGAGTTCTCACCGTTTGATGAGAATACCATTCCGATCTGATTGAGTACTCCCTAATCGGATTCATTCGCTGTGTCCACTGAGCACGCGTTTCACCCACCACTGTAATTGGATTCGGTGCCCTAAAGTTCAACCGGTACAGGCCACCGGTTGCAAGCTGATTGAAGCCAAAAGCCTTCGATTTAAATCCCTTCATGAACACTACTTATTCAGAGACAAAGTACAAAAATGGTGTTCTTCAAGAAGGATATATATATGCGCATAATCTGGAAAGATTTTCCCTTATAATTTTGAAATTCATTTGAATTTCTAAACCTATCACTTTGGAATAACGAATGTAGTTGAAAAAGAGATTATCCACTGTCCGTGGATAGCAAAACTGTTTATCTATCCACTGGATCATACAAAATCACCTCCATCTGTGTCCGGTGTAAAACCTAACGTGTCGAAATGAGAAGTACTTGTACAATCAAGGAACCTCAATCAAACTGTGTTCCACCGCGAACAGTAACACGAGTTTTCTGCGATTAGGTACAGTTCACGTTGCGCGAAATGCGCACAAAATGGTACATTTAACGCAATAAGGAACGCGCCTTTCAGTTACTTGACTGACTTCGGCCCTGTTGCTTTACGCCGATAAGAATGTTTTCCTTAATTGAGCCGAGAGAACCCCAGGCAACACCCAATTAGATTAGGTAAGGGAAATGGTCTGAGTTGTGTGACTTACTCGCTTCTCATCAAACTGTATAAGCCATGCGGTTTGTTTTGAATTGGGCCACAGACCTGTGATTTGCTGGAATAGAAAAACACGATTTAACAACACTTGCATGAGAAGCAGCAACAAATGATGGACATTTAATAAATTCTAACCGAATCTCAAGTTTTAGTTAGGCCATAAAACGATGGTCTGGTTGGTCAGATATATACCGTAAGCGTTTTACTAGTCCACGACATTAATCCTCATGAAATCTCTTCTCTCCGGTTCACCAAAATTTCATGGCGTATGGTGATCCGATTTTCAAAGAAGGGTTGTGAGTTACTACTCTCATCTGTGAGTAGTTTGTCCTCACAAAGAAGCGGTTGTTGGACTCCCAAGAGATATGTGCAGTAATTGTAGTATGCACTGATCACGAAATACAAATTACGTGTTACGTGGACGTACCGTAAGCACTGGATCACATTGGTACTTGCACGCTGTATCTCACGGAACGGAGACGTGAGGAAAAGGCCACAGGAGTAGAAGTTCGTTTATTAAAAGATACCAAAGGGATTAAAT